TTTGCTTTTTAATATTTCATTCGTGCATAATGTGGGGGAGGATTTCCCTACTTTTTGCAGAGTCCTTTCATTACGCTATAATTTTAAGTAAATAAATAGTAACCAAATTATACACATCGATATCTTATTGGTTTGTAATTTTGTATGAATGTAGGTTTGGAGAGGATGATTTTCTTTATAAATCTCTCTCTCTCTCTCCCTCAAAATAAATGATTAAAGTCAATTTCCCCAATTAGATGTATTTGAATAAGTAGAAAGAGTAATGATCATGTGAGAATCCTCCCATACCCCAACAGCAACAGCATGAGACCCCATTTGATTACAGTAAGATTCATCCCAAGAAATAGCAGATGCCAGGTCTGTCTTGAGAGTTTTGGTTCTTTTCCTGAAAAAACTTTACAGGAGTTTTACTTTAACTATATACTAAATTTGATTACTTCTAAAGTTCCCATCATCGCTGGCTTCAGTCGATGAGGAAGTGATTTTTCGGATCAATCTCTGCCATTACAAGAACAACCCAATCAAATTCTTAACTTTTCTTCTCATCAATCAATGGAAGTATTTTTAAAGGGAACTCACTGCGTTTATACAGTGATTATTTTGTGGCTTCTTTCAGCATAAATGGGTCTTTATTGCCGTGAAAGTTTTCCATTTTATTAGTAGAAATAGAGAGAAATCATTTTTTTTTTTATTGGCATATTGAAATTCAGAAATTTTGATGACAAAGAATTGAGAAATATGCTTACGCTTTTTGAACCGTAAACTAATTGGCTTGTGCAGATGATGAATAATTATAGGCCTGTGTTCCCGCACTTTTCTCGCTGAACTAATGGGGATTTTCTTTTATGGGTTTCTATCCAGGGAGAGAGAGAGAGAGTTTCCAGTACTTTTCTCTCTAAACTAACGGGTCTTTTTCTTTTCTTTTTTTTTTTCTTTTTTTTTTTTTTTTTTTCTTATGAATTCATGTCGACAGCTAGAGAAAGATGCGAGGGGATTTTTAGATAAAACAAACATTGGGATAGAAAGTGGAAGGAAGAGGTTTAAGAGGAAAAGGTTTAACCGGGTGATCTGGCATCCCATATTTCTTCGGATGTGGATAGGATATAAATATAACGATTATAAATTGGGTCTCATGCAATTGGGGTATGGGAGGGTCTCATATTATCATTATTCTAAGGGACAAAAAATGGTTTGATAGAGTTGCAGCCGTATAAACAAGTAAAACCTTATTTCCTAACTCATCAAAAAATTGCAATTTAAGCATTGAAAAATCTTTACTCGACCATCTTGGCTGGAACATCATGGTTGTGAAAAAAAAATAAATCAAGCTCTAAAAATAGTGTATATTTATTAACAAATTATCTAGATCGTTCATCTCACCCTAAAATTAAGTGTTCATAGATCCACAAGATCTATACAATTATTTGAGTTTCAAAATTTATTGTCATTGTTGGAAATTAATTTAAATCTGTCATGAAAATTTCCGTTGCGGAAAGTGCTTTCTAGATGAGGACTTGAAGTGAGGTTTTATTTTGATTTCATAAAGCATATGCCTTATAGAAACTTAATCCTTTAATGAATTAGGGTTTTAAAGGAATTGTATACAATATGACCATTTACCTTTTGTACAGGGATGTCATAATTGCTTACAACTATCCGATGTAAAATCTAATAGTTTATGTGTGTTATAAAGTTTGAGATTTTTTTTTTTCAACTTTGAGTCTAGTCAATAAGATAAATGCAACTACCCGATTTCACATTTTTTATTAAGATTACTTGTGACTACCTTATACTAAAAATAAATATTTTTATTATATACTTCCCCAGTTTTAAAATCTTCAAAATAATTATTCAAGTTCAATCAAAGATGAATTGACACCCTCCTTGAAATGTCCATGCAACACAAATTCAATTGCTAGAGATGTTTCTTTTAGGCATCTACTTACATTTGTCCAAGGCAAGGAAGTATACAATAAAACCAACACAAAGAAGTATACAATAAGACCATTTACATGTCGCACAAAACATCCATGATGTCCCCAAGCTACTGCATCAGAATTGCAATAAAAAAAATTCTTCGGATTTTGTGCAAAGAAATGACTCATTCTAGCGATCCAATTTTACCTTTGAAACCTCCAAGTATTTGTCAACCTTTCTAAGAAGGAAAAGTGCTCCATGCGTCAAAGAATATAACCTATAAATAACATATTGACAGTGCACAAAAAAATATCAATAAAATTATATTTTTAATTTGAAAAGTTATTTTTTCTTGTCATATTCATGATTATCTTGGTCTAGATGAGGAATCTACAAAAAAAGAGATATATAATTAATATTTAAAATAAAGTTTAGAGGAAGGACGCATATATACATATGAGTCTAACTTACTCATAGAAACCCATCCTTCTACGAAAGGTGATGATCGATACGATCCTCTCATTGTACAAAGACTAATGTTCGGAAAACTGTTCGGTTCGATTGGAACCGCCAGGATTCCGATTCCGATTAGGACTGGTTTTGGTGTTCTAGCATGTATATGAAATACCCCAAAACAGATCCGGTCCAAAACCGGCTGATAGCTAGTCGAACTGGCCATTTTTATATTCAACAACCGGTTTTTTGGCAAACCGACCGGTTAGTCAATATAACAGAGAAATAACGTATAACAACCGTTAGTTTTTACTGGGGCTGTTATTTGATGCAGAAGCACATGTTAACATGTTTCTCTTGATTGAACATTTGATTCCATTTTCCATGCATTTTTAGTCTTACACAGGGTTTTGCAACTAATAATTGATCGAAATTTTTGTTTTCTTCTATAAATCAATCGATTTGAGATCAAAATGGCACCGAAATTCCATTTTCTTGGCCATTATTTGGGTATGCTTCAAAATTTTGTGAGAAATCCACCAATCTAAATATTTTGGTCTCATTTTTTAGTTTTTCTCCATCAAAATGGAGGGATTTTATTGATGCCAAAGATATCAACACTACTACACTCCTTTTTTGATCAAAATCTAGATATTTCGAGCTCGATTTTGAGATTAGAGCTTCATTTGTGTTAGAAAAAGATAATGCAAGTTTTATCCCGAATTTTTTTGAATATTTTCTTACTTTTTATTCCTCTTTTGGGAATTTTCATACAATATTTGACTGAAATTATTGATTGCATTCAATAAAAGAACAAATTTGAGAAACGAATATCAATCTTTCCTGCCCCTTTTTTTGTGTTTTTCAATGTTTTGGGAAACATCTGCCAAACTACATATTGTGACGTTTTTTTTTATTTTTTCTCTACCAAAATGGGGAGCTTTTGTAGATGATAGAGATGTTCAAACTATTGAACTCTTGATTTCATCGAAAATCAGACATTTTGGGCTTGATTTTTGGATCAGCCGTTGACCACGTGAGATAGTTCTTGGTCCAACAGACCTGGCCGGGACCTAATCTCAGTTCACCTTGGACCTATCTAGGCTAGGACCAATTCAAGGTCACCTAACCTAATCCTCTTGGGTCCGGGTCTCTGCCCTAATGGACCCAACTGGGATTTAATTTGGAAAAGCAGCTCCACATAAAACCAGAACCAAAAATTAGTAAAAGCTCATTGTTCTACAAATACTAGAATCATCTCATGTTAATAAATAATGAAATATAATAATAAATCATTGATTTTAATTTATTGATTTTCTTACAACCTGGAGGGTCATTTTCTTTGTGCATTCATCGTGTTAGAATAAATAAATTTAAACAAAAAAAAATACCCCTTTTTTTTTAAAAAAAAAGTCCAAATCAAGTACCGATCATCATTTTTCATTTCACCTGGCAGATGAAAATCCATAATGCATTGTAATTATCTAGAAAACCAGTTTTCCCTATTTGCAATTACCCCCATATACTCCTATAGTCTAATTGGATTTTTCTTTTTTAAAAACATTGTGCTCCACTGTGTTCAGCTAGCTCTCTCTCTCTCTCTCTCTCTCTCTCACACACACACACTCACACACACACACAACACGAACACACACACCCAAAGTGGAGGAAAGGGCTGGGTAGAAGATATCCTAAACACGTCGAGCATTCAAGGTCATGTGCCATGCCATGTTCTAGATTAATTTGCTTCACCACTTTCCTATCTTTTTTTTTCTCATATTCTTAATTAGTCTGTAATAGTGATTTATTATTGCTCAAAATTGGAATCCCTCCCATCTCAAGAAAATTAGGAGTTGCATGTACCACTACTCATTTATGCTGGTGGGATTGCAAAACGTTTTGATAAAAAATCCACCACGCATATCAAGGAAAGTATATCAATGCACACCCTGTGCTCAAAATGCACAGCTAGACGTTTATTGTTAATTCTCAAGATCGACAATTGAGATGGAAACGAAACATAGCTTTCACAGCATTCATTCCCAATGGAACTATAGGGCATTGAGACATCATGAGCTTTTAGTATCGTTATACACATACAAGGCGAGCCTTTAGTAATATTTGTCTCGGGACCGACAACTATTTGATCTTTAACTATTCGAAGGAGTCGAAAATAATTCCACCGTCAGTTAATGTCTCATAAAAGCGCCAAACACTAGAATGTATTCAGACAATGTTATCTCCCAATATTAGTATCTATCCTAACATTCTTATTCCTAATTGCTCGATTCAAACATTTTTATTCTTAGTTGTTTGATCATTGATCAGACAGTTGTTGGTCTCCAAACATGTACCTTCGGACATCACGACACATATAAAGGTTTCTCTGTAAACACAAATCCTAGAAACGGGGGAGAATACACCAACCTATATACCTCATACTTCCAAAGTGAGTGGTTCTACTGGTTATACAGACTAACTATACATGCACATGTGCCGTGCCAAACATACATTCTTTTCAACCACATACATACATGTGAACACGCATGCAATGTCCCGTAGTCATGCTAGATTTCACATGATGCATGCATGCGGCAAACACGTATGCAAGTATTCCCATGGTCATTATACATGCAAAAATGCATGGGTGCATGCAGCCAAAGACGCATGCATGCATATTCCCCTTAGGAATGAACCAAGCATGCACGAACCACAACCAATAACCCACACAGGCAAACATGGAAACAAAGCTTTCAAGTGCCAGATTAAGGATGACCTAAACTTCTTCCCTGGCATGGTTGCTGCTCTTTATTATGTTGAATTTGCAGAGAGGACAGGTCGCATTGATGTGCAACCACTTGTCGATGCAAGCGCAATGGAAATGATGGCTGCAAGGAAGCTCGCGAAGGTCGACGCCATCTTCGTAGGGAGAGAGGCAAATGCAGCACTCCTGCAACAAATCACAAGGGCTCTGCATGAGGCAAGGATGGTGAAACAGAATATAAAGAAAGAGAGAGAGAGAGAGAGAGAGAGAGAGAGAGAGAGAGAGAGAGATATCTTCTATAGAACAGTAGAAGGAAGGACGCGTAGTTGTTAGTAAGTAGACGACACTACTATTACTATTAAGTAAAAGTAGACTAAGTCTGTACGTTAACGTTT